TGATCTCGGTCGGGGTGTGTCAGTTTGTGACATCCCACATCATCCAAGGGTGTGATCCTTAAATGTATATTCTCATCCCTACCTAGCACGAGGCCTTTTGGGAGCTCACTAGTTTCGGGTTCCGTAGGAACTCCGAAGTTAAGCGAGAATGAGGTTAGAGCAATCCCATGATGGGTGACGCACTGGGAAGTTGCTCGTGAGTTCCCAAAAACAAAACCGTGAGGGAATGGTAAGCCCAAAGCGGACAATATCGTGCTACGGTGGTGAAGCGGGCCCGGGAAGTGATCCGCCCCGGGTCGGGATGTGTCAGTTTGGTATCAGAGTCTAACCTTGGTCGTGGTGTGCCGACGAGGATGTCGGGCCCCTAAGGGGGGTGGATTGTGACACATCACCCAGGGGTGTGATCCTTAAATGTATATTCCCATCATTACCTAGCACGAGGCCTTTTGGGAGCTCACTGGCTTCGGGTTCCGTAGGAACTCCGAAGTTAAGTGAGAAGAGGGCTAGAGTAATCCCATGATGGGTGACCCACTAGGAAGTTGCTCTTGAGTTCCCAAAAACAAAACCGTGAAGGAATGGTAAGCCCAAAGTGGACAATATCGTGCTACAGTGATGGAGCGAGCCCGGGAAGTGATCCGCCCCGGACCGGGATGTGTCAATTTCACTCACACACACACACACACACACACACACACATATATATATATATATATATATGTATAGTTTTATTAAAATATTAACCATTCCTATTTGAAAATATTGGAATATATTGGTTGGCACACCATCGGAGTACATCATCATTTTGTTTTCTATTTTTTTCCGTCCCTTTTCACTTCGTTCTCTCTGTCTGTTCTCTCTAGCTCTCTCTCTCTCTCTCTCTCTCTCTCTCTAGCTATTTCTCATTCTCTCCGTCTAAGCAGTAAACCTTCCATAAACGCAGAAGCATACCCAGTTTCCTGCAGTTCGAAATATTTGAGGGGCGGAATTCAGACTTTCAGTGGCGATTTCAGAAGAGCCGAGGGGCAGCCGCCCCTCCTTGTTCCTCTGTAGCTTCTCCAGTGGGTGATAGGCCTTGGTAGTCTGGGAGGTGATGCGGTGGTCTGCGTTGGTTAAAGGTAGGATGGGTGTGTACTTTGGGTGGTTGAATCGTGGGAGGTAGATGGAAGGGGAAGGCAATTTTGGTAAAGAAGTTTGATTCCAGATGCTAGCTTTCTTCCGGAATTCAATTACCACCTTCAAGTCAATATTTGGATTCCGGGAATATCAGGAATCCGATTACTGATTTTGGGTGGAGCGCACTAATTTTTTCATTCCCAAAATTTGGTAAACGCCGAAATCACTTGGATGGGAATTCAATTCCCTTTCTTCTACCTTCATTCCAGTTTGGGAAACACGCCATTAGTGTAGTTGTTGTTGAAGAACAGGATCCCACATCGGTTATATAACAAAGTAATATACAATTAATACATAGGAGTTTTCACGCTTAATTAGGCATGGCAATTTCTTGAATGACATGTTAACCCGACAAGAAACGACACGAAAATAACAAGTTTCTTGTCAACTCATTAATGAGTCGAGTCGTTATCGGTCATCCGTTAAGAATCTGATAAGATATCATTTGTCATATCTAGATATTAAGGTAAGTTTTTGCATGACCCGTTAACCTGACACAAAATGACACAACACAACCCATTAAAATAATGGGTATGACACGCAAACTATATGAACACGACAAACATTACCTATTTGACAGGCCTACCCCTAACATCACTATGGTCTTTTGTGATAAAACTCAACACCTAATAATAGGTGGTTATGTTGGGATAATATCATTGATAAATAATGAAAAATCAAGAACCTACCACATTCTTGTTCATATGCAGCACATGGAAAACCATACAAACTACAAACACAAATACAAAGGTAGGTAAAAAGAAAAAAAAGGAAGAATTGTATGACCAAAGTGAATTTTGTGTAGATGTTTGAACAACATAGGTATTTATAGAGTTTTTGGATGAATTTTGATTTAAGTAAAATTTTTAATTGGTTTAACCGTTGGATTTAATTTTAAACTGTTAGATCTTTTTTTAATGTTAGATTTACTCAGTTTGTCTCAACCGTTGGATTTAGTGTATTATAATTTGATTTTTTTTTTTTAATTTGAATTAAAAAAAAATTATTCTTCAACAGTCCAACCACATGGGTCATCCGATAAAAAAAAATAGTCATCAATTTTTCCGCAAATGGCCAATAGTATCAGCAGCTAGGTCCATCCACTATCCTTGACTCCTTTTCTGGGATAAATTTTTCCCAAAAACAAGTTTTAACCCAAAACCATTTTTTAGCACAATGATTGAAGAAGCTTTTGGAGTGTTTAAAACTCAAATTTTGAGTTTTAACCCAACCAGTGAGTTGGTCTAAGTTGGGCTAGCTCTAGCTTAAGGATATTGAATGATTGAGCCTTTAAAAAGTTGTGTTCGCTCTAGTCCTTGTGTTTTGACTGGGCTTTCGAAAAGTGTTAGCTCTAGTTTAATAACTTGACAAATTTTCATGAGAGTTTCCTATTAATATCACTAAGACTTTTTGTGATAAAATCCAACATCTTATAATAAGTGGCTAAGTTGAAGCAATATCAGTAATGTTAGTGGTAGATATGTTGTGCCTTATAAACTTTATCACTTTTGCCTATAAAATAACCCTACAGGAATAATAATAATTACTAACTAGTTAATCTCTCATTTCTTCACCTCACCATCCCATATTTTTATCCTAGTTCTCTCATTGATGGGACATGGGATTATTAAAGGTATGTTTATATGCGGATTTTGAAGTTTCATTGAACTTAAGCTAAATTAGTTACAAATACATTGCAAAACTTACTGGAAGGACTTAGAAATGGATAGATGCTCTACATTTTAGAGGACTTTCAAAATGACCGGTGAACTTTCAAGTCCTTTGTTTAGTGTCTTTATAGTGCATTTGCAATATTCCAGAGTAACTTTGTAGTGTGTGAGGATTTCATTGTAGTCTTAATGTCTTTTTACACTATGTTTGGATGAGTGAAATAAACTTGAAATTTTGGTAAAAGTCTGAATTTATAAATTGACATACATCAATTTCTTTGTTTGGATTCATAAACATAGAAATTTAGAATTTCCGCGTGGAAAAAAAACTTGGAATTTGGGACCTCTAATTCCTAAGTTCAAATTCCATGCAAATAGGTGTCAATTCCCAATTTCTATGATTGCGAGTTTAAAAATCACAAATTCCGTATTCAATTCCATTGTTCTTTTAAGTTAACCAAACAAGAAAATTTACAAATTCTAGAAAATAAAATCTCGTCATTTTAATTTCCGTTATTTTGAAATTGCTTAATAATCTTAAATTTCTTCATCCAAACATAGTAGTGTCTTTTAAGTTGTTTGAGATTTGAGACTCTGAAAGGCCATCCATTCAAACATAACATAATAGTTTTATATCATTTGAGCTTTCTCAAATAAATCTATAATTTACTCTAATGACAGCATCATTTGTACTTTTTCAAAGGCATGCAGGATGCTGTTGGTTTACTACTTTTTCCCTTTCATTTTAATTCCAATTCACCAGAAGCCTTAAGATCGACTCAAGAATCTGGTCATCTTGTATAATTCTCTCATATAGAATCCCATGACCCCACGATCTTTCCTTTGTTATGGTATGGATTAAGGAGATACCAATAATTACCAGCATCCTGCAGTCAAAGCAAATGAGGAGTCCGGATCCTCTTTGTGAAAATCTCAAAGATCTGTAAAACATGTCTGTTTATCATACATCGTGCGGTCAGAAATTATTTTAAATATTTTTAATTAAAAATAAACATAAATAATATTTGATAAAAATTGATTACACGATATACGATGAACGAACATAATTTATGAATTCTTAAAATCTTCACCAAAAAGATCTAGAGAGAATCTTGTTGGATACAGATGTATATATGTACGTAATATGATTCTCTAGACCTCCACTGTTTTTCGATGGCAACCCTAATCATTCCTCTTCTATTATTGTTGGTGGCCCATAATTCACTCAAAATTAAAATATAAACCTGCCCTGTCACTATCTCCTGACAGTTTACCCCCATAAAAATCTAAAAGAATTGTGTTATTCACACGAGTATTTTTACTATTCACACTCTCGTAAATTTGTTGGTTTTAATCTTTTTCAATTCATTCAATCTGACGACTAAAAATTGAAAAGAATATGAGTTAAAATGTGTTGATAGAACTATCTAATGTAAAATATGCCTCCCTAAATGATAAAACAATCCCATTATTTTAATGAAGTTTTAACGAAAAACCTACGGTATTGTTCACTTTAAAGGAAAATCATATTTTTACACTAAAGAATCAATCATAATACTATTCACTTTAACTTTTATTCAATCTTTATTATTAAAACTTAAAATTTTCAAATTCCTTTCATTAATTTTTCTTTATTTTAAACCCACAGAAAAAGTAAATGGGACGTCACTTTGTAGTGTTCGTCGCTGGTTGGTTATACTTTCCATTAATCATTACAATATTTTTCTGATCAAATCAATAATCGGCTTGGTGATCCGGAGCCTGGACACTCTCATACATCACAGCTTTGGCTTGCTCAAGCCCAGCCAAACCCCTAGTTCCCGCGTCATCAAACCTCCTAACCATTGGCTCCCCACGCGTTTTTCATATGGGCTATTGACACGTATCCCGAGTGGATCCCAGCTAGTCTCTTGTTTCTTCGTGACTAAGCTTAAAAATAAGCTTTTTGGGGACCCACCAAGGGCTACGTCACACCCAGTACCCCTTTAAAACCCTAAGACCCACGCTCTATAGTGCCACCTGACTCAAAAGCTAATCCTGTACACATACGGCTTACTTAAGCAATACGGTTTGGACAAAAATACCCTTGATCGCCCGACTTAATTTCACCAATTGGTACGCTCCGGTTTTCCTTTAAATATGAAGCACCAACGCTTCGTTCCTTCCCTTTCCTCCTCCCCCCTTCCCTCTCTATCTAAATTAGAAGTTCAGAGAGCTTTTGTTGTAGCCACCATGTTATCTACTCTTCCAGCCAAGCTTCCCTCTGATTCCCTCCTCCATTTATCCGCTTTCGACGGGGGCTTTACCCCCGGCGGCTTTACCCCGTGGGATTGCTCGGACCTTTTTCAGGCAACCCCGTCCCCTGAACCCGTGATATCAACCCTAAGTTCATCTCCAGTTCAGTCTCCCAAAACAGTGATTTCGAGTTCTGGTTCGGATGACGACCCGAACCGGCCGGACCGGTCCCACGCCAACGCGAAGTCATGCCAAAATGACGACTCGAACCGGACGGTTTCTGTGGTGGACGAGCGGAAGAGGAGGCGGATGATATCGAACCGGGAGTCAGCCAGGCGGTCACGGATGCGAAAACAAAAGCACTTAGAAAACCTACGAACCAGGTGAACCGGCTTAGGGTTGAGAACCGGGAATTGAACAACCGGTTGAGGATCGTTTTGTACCATTCTCAGTGCGTACGGACAGACAACGATAGGCTCCGATCCGACCACGTTATGCTCCGGCGGAAATTGTCGGACATACGTCGAATTTTGGTTTTCAGTCAACTACAGCACTTTTCTTCTGCATGGCCCTGCAATACCATTATTCCAGAACAAACCCCATAATTAATTACGTAATTGATTAGACTATCAATATTCTGAGAAGCAAAAAACCTAATCAATTTCTCAGAAAAAACCTCATTAATTACGTAATTTATAAAAGCTGCCAAAGTGAATGGTGGGGTTAGGTCTTATGGTGAACGGTGATTTTTGCGAAAAGGAAAAAAGTAGGGTTTGGAAAATGCTGGTTTTCGTGTGGAAAACCTTTGGGGTTATTTATAATATATTTGTAAAAATATATATTAGCCGATTAATGTTTTGTTTATGGAAGCATTTTGCTGTATGTTGTTGTTGTTTTGCAATTACCAAATCTCTTGATCGTTGTTTTGTTTAAGCTCTCCACTATTAGTCCACTTACGTATGTAAAGCTACAAATTAGTGTTGGTCGCACACAAATAATTCCCTTCTCTACAAAACGCTGAAACTTGTGCCAATGTGCTGCCAATGTTTCCCCATTTTATATCGTTCTAATTGGGTTCCATAAGTTACTTAATTAATTTAAATTATAATGTTGGAGCCTTTTTTGGATAATTGATATGCACGAGAGCACTAACTTGAAATGGACAAATGGGAAAAGATCATAATGCCCTTCGTATTCATTAGATAGAATTATCATGTGTGGCATATACAAAGTTATAAACGAATCTCATCAAAGAATTAAAGAAATTACAAACGAATATTCTAAAGGGTTAATCTTGTCTTTCGGACATATAGATTATTTCAATAATAAATAGAGATGCTAAATTAACAGTCAAGCAATGGACTATAACTTTTTAAGGATTTCATTTTTTGAATAATGATCAATTTCTTTACCCATTTAGGAGAATCTTAGTTAAACATTCAAAATCAAGGAAGAATCATTGATACTTGCAATATTTTTTTTCTATTGTTTGTGTTATCATACGCTCAATCAACAATATAAATCCTAAGACAACAGTTACACGTCCTAACAAAGAATTACTTGATTTTAAGGGAGTCATATAGTAGTAATCCTCTAATATTAATCACATAATTTCTTACAAATGAGATCCCCTTAGGTTGGTTTAGTCTCACATAATACATGATCAATAATACAAAGTGGTGAATTGGTTTGACTGTTAGGGTCTTCCTTTTTAATCCATCATGTCACATGTTCAAACTTTACCCACTCTGCTTAGAAATAGAAATATCTCTTGTGTTAAAAACAAATCAAGGATCTAAAAAATGATAGGTGCAAGTCGGGCAATAGGCTGGGGCATAGTGCCTAGGCAAACTAAGCAGATTTAAGTATAGTTATTATATGTCTTATTAAAAAGGGTTTAGTTATACTTAAAATATACAGAATTTCATTGGGATAAATAAGTTGCAAAATAAAATAACATATAGATTATAAAGTAATAGAACATAATGAAAACATGATGAACAAACATATAATGTGTGTTCATCTAAGTACTCCTCTTACAATTTATTGAAAAAAATAAAATTCAAAATGAAATTTATCTATTTTACATCTAAGTGAGAATCACGATCTAAGCGAGTGGCAAGGCAAGGTTGGATGGGCTAGGTGAGCGCATAAGCAGGTTTAGATGTCCTTTCTTAATTTTCAAACAAAGATTAATCAGGATGGTAACCAACCACCTAGCCTAGGCGCATCTAGACGGAGATTTTTAGAATAGTAAAAAAAAAAAAAAAAATTGATCATTAATTACAACACAAGGGCTTTCATTCTTAATTATATGCCTATAGTGAAAGCACAACCAATAATTAGCTAACAATATCTTTGTTCATTCGAGAAGTCGTGGTTAGGATTCAGAATTTGCAAGGAGTAGTGACATCATCATGCTATGTAATTTGGTATTTACCATATTAGTCAATGATTACAAAGGAAGCTTCATTTTGCACATCTAAAATTTGTTAGTCCACCCACTAAATAGAAATTTTTATAACCAAACAGCTCACAACTAATTTTTAAAAAGAAACGTCCACCAAAATAAATCCAACAAATTATATGAAACGGCAAGAAAAAGGAAATAAAAGAAAATTCATGGACTGTACTGTAACAAATGTCTTTATATTCTTCTTTTTTCCTATATACAAATTTTAATTTTAAGCAAGTACATATCTTCATCACTCACTTTTCCTCTACTAGAATTGATTGATTTTGGATTAAGTGCAGAGAAAATGAGAGCTTTGGTAGAAAAATAAAGTGATTAGGGACTTTAATATTGTATTTTGAGGAGAAGGGGGCCACAAGGGATTAAGTGCAGAGAAAATGAGAGCTTTGGTAGAAAAATAAAGTGATTAGGGACTTTAATACTGTATTTTGAGGAGAAGGGGGCCCCAAGGGTTTTTTTATTCTCTGAATTCTCTTATGAGAAGTTGTGATCAATGATGTAATCCAATCAGTATACAACGAAAAAAAAAAAAAAGGAGCCATCATCACCCCATATTAAGTACGTTTTATTAAGTAAAACTTTCTACTTAATTGCAACATGGAAAAAAGACAAACCTTCTTACCTTTTATTTTTGTATCATTTGTATCTCGTGTATCCTCTTACCTTTTACTTCTGTATCATTAAATCTGGTGTGCCACAAATTGTGCGATGCTACCGAGATGACAATTCATTATTTTGTAGTCTATGACTAGGGCCGGGCAAATCTAGTGATCTTTCGACAAAACCGATCAAACCGGACAGGTTGTTCCAATTTGATCTGCTTTCCCTATATAATTTTAAAATATTTGGCAGAAAAAAGGAATAAGACCAGCTGGCCCGGCTCAAACTTAGTGCAATAATTTGTGCACTGTGTTTGACCCGAAATGTATTGGACCTATTGGTATTAATTTTTAAAAAGTAATGATAAGAAAATTAAATTTGTAAATTAAATATGTAAATTAAATGACATAGAAGTAATTACTTAAATATTAATTAACATGCTCTTTTTTTATTGACGACACATTGTTTAATTTACAAATTTAATCTACAAATTACGTGAATACATACAATATTACGTGAGAGAATGGTTAAGTCATTGTCTTCAAATTTAATCTCTAGAATTCTCTTCAAGTCGCGGTATTCACACTTGTACAAAAAACACTTTGCACGACGCAGGTCCTTCGTCGCTCAAAGTCAAAAAAATGTCGTGCAAAACTTAGCGCAACCAACCTTCGTCACACACTAACCGTCGCACCAAGGCAATGACAGAAGAGTTTGCGCGACGAAGAAGAAACATGCGTCGTTCTTAGTCGCGCAAAGCCTCTTTGCGCGACGTAGTCTGCGTCGCGCAAAGTCACTTTTGCACGACGTAAGCTGCGTTGCAAAACATGCGTGCAAAGCCTGTTTGCACAAACCCATGTTTTTTCTTTTTTTTTTGGCAAAAATATGTTTAAAACAATAATTAATAAACAAGAAAATGTATTTAATTATAAATATATGAAAATGTACATACAAGATGTCCGAACAAAAAAGAAAAAGACTATAACAAATAGTTCCCAAAGAAGAATGGTATAAAGTTGGTGAACAAAGGCTCCTTGGTTTCAGGATTCATCTTCTCACGTTGGTGATCCTCGACCCCATGCGACTAAAAAAAAAAGTTGCATATGCACTTACCTGCAAAGGAAAAAAAAAAAAAAAAAAACTTTTCAACACTTGAAAATGATAACAAAAACCAAAAGCTCTCAAATTTCCAATCCTTGCAAGAAGAAAGCAACTAAGTAGCAATGCAAAATGTTCAGGAGGAGTTAAGAATTAAAAAAAAAAAAAAAAAGGTGCAGAGAATCAATCAGTAAGGATACATTGGCCTTACCACATTCAATGAATGAGAAAGCTTGACTGTCTGCAACACGCCCGATTTATCAGTTTCCATGCTGGCAAGAATCTCAACTCTGCCTTTGCTTATGAACATATAAGGATCACTACAATGTTGGATGCAAATATCAGTCTAACATTCATTTCTCATCCCAAATAGAAATCAATATTCGCCAAAGTTAAAAAGAAAAATAAATTGGAAAGAGAAGGTTGGTTGCTAGGAATAAAACCAAAAATCAATACATAAACATTAATATTTCTAGTTAGGTATATTAGTTGACGAGAAACATGGATCAATAAAGGAGTACACAAAATCGTAAATGGAAAATCAGGGAGTTTATCAATTCTTTCACTATAGTGTTAGAAGCCAGTCAGTAACAGTAGAAGGCTAACCTCTGAGGCACAGAGTTCAAATCAGCAAGGGAATCTTCAACTTGGAAATTTTCTCAAGTGCATGGATAAGGGTTACAACCTTGTATCAACAAAGAAGCAAATTAAGTCAATTCTGCTCCTTAAACTCAAAACTAACAGAAGGAAGAGTTGCATTTTACACACAGCACCTACAACAATTTTATATCTGGATTTTTTATGTAAATGGGTATTTGACTGTGGCCGAAAGGGACAACTGTGTCAGCAGTCAGCACTCGAGAATTTAGGATATAAGGTTGTAGAATTTGAAATAGACACAGTACCACATAAATTGTAGGTCGATTGCTATCAGATGAGCCCTCATTTTCCACCATTTCTAATATAACAATAAGTGCAACATTGTCCTGAAAAATTGCGTATAAGAAGCTGATATAAGAAACATATGGGAAGCAGAAACAAGAGCCCTACTAGAACAAAATGCACATTAAAAACCATACAAGAAGCTGATATAACAAACAGATTTGAAGTGTTTCTAATCCTCCAAACTACTTCTCTTACTCTTTTAACATGTTCTATTGCATCTAATATAACCAAGAAGATCACCATTGATTTAAAATCACAGTGTTCTTTTTAAAGGGAATATAATTGGACACTCCCCTATTAGATTTTACTTGAAAATATATCAACACAAGTCAACATACATACTAGTCTACAATTAAATGTCACCTGTAAATTTAGGCCCAGAAACAAGCCTTATATGGTAGCTTGAAGGATCGCTCTTCAACCAGCCAGCCAAAACATACACCACTTTGAACCCATTTTCATGTTTTTCAACAAACTCCTGGAGTAACCTATACAAAACAACTTTTAATCACTTGTAAACAAGAAATGTAACCCACAAGCTTTGAGACAGTTCCTATATATCTTTGCAGCATTCAAAGACACCAAGTAATTTCAACTCAGCCACTTGTAGGAAACCTATAACATAATTCAACACCAAAAGTAACTAAATTTAGACAATCTTAAACACATCTTAACTCAAATTCCAATCAAGAATTATTTTTTTTTTTGTAGATATACATGAAATTGAATGCATAATCAATCACAACTGCCCCACCAAAGGAATAAAACCTCTATCCCCTGCACTCAGTCACCAAACTGCTACTCTACTTCAATGATTCAATATGCGCCTTCCCCCAATTAAGGTAAACAAAATTTAGTTTCCTTTTTTGGGACAAAAAGGAGAATATTACACAAAGATGGCATCATAAAGATCCCCAAACACCAAGGTACAAGCACAGAAACTAAAACAAGCTTTGAATCAAATGGAGGATTGGAGTAGGAGGGATTGGGGGCGCCATGAATTATACACATGGAGAATTGGAGAATAGTGCACATGCTTTTGTAATTGGTCGGTTTCAGAACCCAAATTAAGGTACTCAATTGAATTTATCTTCTGAGTATAACGTAAAAAAGGTGTGTGTATGTGAATGTGATATGGGTTCTTCCCAATTTCGTCCCAGCAACATAAAAAAATATTTTTATTACAGTCATTCATCAAACAAGGTTGGTTTAATCTCTTCTAATGCATGCAGCATTCTATGACCTCTTGCCGCATTCTATAACCCATATTAAGGTACAAATGCTTGATTAAAGTGCACAACAAACGAATTTTTTCTCAAAATTCACAGAGAGCTAGAGATTAAAATTAAATAACTGAAAAAATATATATGAGAAATTAAGGTAGGCACTATGATAAGAAATTAATTAACTTTAAAAAACAAAGACCTATGAAATTGGGGGAAAAGGGCAGCAGATTTTTACCTCTGTGATGGCTGTCGAGACGGCGAGGCGGGCAAGTGCTTGACGGCGAGGTTGCGGGGCTGCGAGGATGCAAGGCTGCAACCTGTGAGGGTTTACAAGGCTGCAAAAGAGAGTGGTGTGAATGATGACGACTGACTGAGAGTGAGGGAGATGGAGGCACGGGGAGGAACACAGGCATAGAAGACAAAGTGAAGAATCACCTAGGGTTAGTAGCAGAAACCAAAAAAAACGGTGGAATTGGGCTCAGGTAGGCAGGGGTGGAGGCGCTTGGAAATTTCTGAAGAGGAAAAGTAGAGAAGCTGCGACAGAGAAATGAAGAGGAGATTTTGGGCGCCATGCCAAAAATTGGGCAGCCCTCCAAATTTTAATCTCCCGCCTCTTTCAAATGTTTTTAATTATGTATGATTACTTTTTTTTTCTTTATCACAATTGAAATCTAACGTTTAGATAGGATACACATTCTACGAAATTAATTTCAACGATCTAACTGTCAAACTTGATTGTATATACTTCGAGATCTCATACGCCAAAAATCGCAACAAACAGACATTCAGATATCAAGTAACGGGATAAAACTTTTGACGGTTATAACGAAAAAACACGATTTAACGGTAATTTTAATTCCGATTTTGATTATTTTTTACAGCTACACTCCTTGATCCTATATGAATACAATGAACTAATTTGATCGTCAACTTAAAATATTTACACTAGTGGATACCATAAAATCTTATGTTATACTTAATGAAAGTATAGATAAACTCCAAGTGTTAGTGAATCTATTGTTTTGATGCGATACGCATTCTACAAAACTAGTTTCAACGATCCAACTGTCAAACTTGTTTGTATATGCTTCGAGATCGCATACACCAAAATTCACAAAAAACAAACATTCAAAGATCAAGTAATGGGACAAAACTTTTCGACGGTTATAAATGAAAAATCATGATTTAATGGTTTTTAACTCCGATTTTGATGATTTTTTACAGCTACACTCCTTGACCCTATATGAATACAATGAACCAATTCGATCTTCAATTTAATATATTTACACTAGAGGATACCACAAAATCTTATGTTATACTTAATGAAAGTATAAATAAACTCTAAATGTTAGGAAATCTATCGTTTTGATGGGATACGCATTCTACAAAAATAATTTCAACGATCCAACTGTCAAACTTGTTTGTATATGTTTTGACATCGCATACGCCAAAAATTGAAAAAAACCAAACATTTAGAGATTAAGTACGGGACAAACCTTTTCAAAGGCTATAAACGAAAAATCACGATTTAACGGTTATTTTAACTCCGATTTTAATGATTGTTTTACAACTACACTCTTTAAACCTGTATGAATACAATGAGTTAATTCGATCATCAATTTAAAACATTTACATAATTGGATATCACAAAAGAAAAAGGCAATGAAAGAACCCCAAAAGAAAAAAAAAAAACTTTGCGCGACACAGCTGTACCTACATCGAGCAAGTTTTGTTTTTTTTTTTTTTTTTTGCCCTTTTGCTTATGAATACAAAATAAATAAATTAAAATCTACTTAGTAAATATATGTATACCATTGAACTTGATGGAAAACACATTGTACGGAATTAGTTTCAACGATCCAACCGTCAAACTTGTTTGTATATACTTCGAGATCGCATAGGCCAAAAATTGAAATAAACAAACATTCAGAGATTAAGTACGGGACAAACCTTTTCAATGGCTATAAATGAAAAATTATGATTTAACGGTTATTTTAACTCCAATTTTGATGATTTTTTACAGTTACACTCTTTGATCCTATATGAATACAATAAACTAATTTGATCGTCAATTTAAAATATTTACACAAGTGGATATCACAAAATCTTATGTTATACTTAATGAAAGTATAAATAAACTCCAAGTTTTAGTGAATCTATTGTTTTGATGGGATACGCATTGTACGAAACTAGTTTCAACGATCCAACCGTCAAACTTGTTTGTATATGCTTCGAGATCACATACGCCAAAAATAAAAAAAAAAAAATATTCAGAGATTAAGTATAGGACAAACCTTTTCGACGACTATAAACAAAAAATCACGATTTAACGGTTATTTTAACTCCGATTTTGATGATTTTTTACAGCTACACTCTTTAAACCTATATGAATACAATGAATTAATTCGATCGTCAATTTAAAACATTTACGTAAGTGGATACCGCAAAAGAAAAAGGTAATGAAAGAACCCCATAAGAAATGCCAAAAAAAAAAAAAAAAAAAAAAAAAAAACCTTTGCACAATGTCGAACTTCGGTTCACAAAGTGTTGTTGCGCAAAGGCCATTTGCTCGATGTTTTGTGTTTTCGTCGCGCAAACATGTTTTTCTACTAGTGTCAAGTCATTGTCTCCGTGATCATGGTCCTTGTATGAATACATACAATATTACGTGAAAGAATGGATTGTCTCCATGGTCATGGTCGTTGTATGAATACATACAATATTACGTGAGAGAATGGATTAAATTTCATAATAAACTAACCATAATAATTTTGTTCGCATTCACCTTTAGCGAAAATCATACATCTCACTTACAAGTGAAAAGCACCGCCTCCATTGTCTTTAGGTCATCGACATTTATTGCCTTTAAGCTATCCTCTTGACTTCGGAGTCAATCTTGAACCTAGATCTTAATATCCAAACGTGGATACCGCAGTATTGAACTTTCACTAATGACATGACTAATACAAACCTAACATCAATTTGACGAACCATTAAGTGGTATGAAGTCTAGATCTTTTTTTTGTTTGTTAGAAATTGAGGTAAGTTCGGCGTCGAATTGCCTGAATCATGCCCGACCTAAAGCTATGTTAAGTTTACACTCATTCCACTCATAGAGCTCGTAATCACTTGCCTCATTTACTCTTTGCTAGCGCATATCCCCAAAATGTTTCCTATTGTAGAGCAATGAAGCTCGCAATGTCACTTTGGGAAGTTGACTTTATTTCCCTACATTCTTTGCTTAAGAATGTTTAAGAATATTTTGAAGCATCTTGCTTCCATGGCATTCATGCTCAAGGAGAACGTCAAGGAATATGTTTTTTAGGGTGGCAGGCATGCTATCAATTCACTTATCTTATAACGATTGTATTTACATATTACTAATACTTATCCTAAATTCATGAAATATTAAACCATGTTGTTCTCCAATCGTATAACATGCAGATTAGTAACACTAAGTAACAATGTCACATAAAAAATTTCTCTACAGAATGAATGTTATACAATTTCTTTTCGTATAACAATAGTAAAAATATTGGAACAACCACATACACTAGATTGTATACCAAAAGGCGTATATAGCAAGAGCATGCAGGGCTTTCATTATATGAAATTCGGTTTAGGTTAATAAGTAATTTTATATTTCATCATCATAATCAGTAGTTCCCTTATTTTCAAATATAGGTAAATAGATAGTTTTTTTTCTTTCCAACTGTCACTCTCTAAAGTGAAAAATGTTGATTAACTTGATTCCAGAATCAAAAATACTTTTCACCTCAAGTGAAATATCCCTTTCCATTAGTGGGGGTAGGTATGGATTGAACCCCATATAAAATCATCCTAGAAAGCATGATGAATGCTTATGTTTTATGCGTTAGATGATGAAGGGTGTCCCCCCTGTTGTCCCTTTCTTTCTTCACCTCAAAGTTTTAAAACCCCAAATACTCGTCTTCCCTAGCAAAGAAAATGGACTCGTAGAGCTCCTGCAGTCGTCGATTCCCATATAATTTGAGCCTGTCACTCTCTGTTCACACATAGTTTATACAACATGAATGAGTATGCTTCTATCTTGCTAGATGCTCTTTTACACACACACACACACATACATATATATACATGAATGAGTATGGTTCGATCTTGCTAGATGCTCTTATATATATATATATATGTATATATATATATACACATAATTTCACTTCACCTGAATGGGATATAATAATCGTGTCCGTTCATCGTACATCGTGTGATCAATTTTTTTTCAAGTACCATTTGTGTTTAATTTAAATAAAAATATTTAAAATAATTTATAACTGAACGATGTACGATGAATGGACACAATTTATAGATTCTTGAGATTCATTTTTGCACTATCTAAATGGGTCCCAAGAAGCCCATTCAAGTTGGGGCCTGCTCCTATACCTAACAGTTCCTAGTGGAAGTTTTGATTTTGGTTGCTGACGTAATTATTAAATAAATAGGTCCAAAGTTGGGAGCATTCCACTTTGTCATTGTGTTTAACAATTAATCATTGTTTTATGCACGCTGGAACAAAACATATAAGTAAAAATTTGAATCTTCTATATAAAAGTGAACCGTGGGGCGGAATCTCTCGATGTCTAAGAATATTATTATGTCCTCTTTTCAGGTATGAAAAATGTTGGAAGATGAACGTTTGTGTAACAAGTAACAACTCCACTAATATTCACTTAAGTAACTACCAACGATGTCAATAAAGCCACTAAATCACGCTTCATTAGTCAAAACATCTAATTAGAATTAAAGTAACCTAATCTATATGTATAAATGCATACCTACAGATGTAGACATGATGAATGTCTGGAGAGAAGGACCTTCTCCTCTCTTAGTTTCAACAGACTTCTTGCTCACAATAGGACGAGCACGTGAACAATTTAAACCAAGAAGAGAGACCAGATCATGTATTAATTGGATTATAACTGCTCCTCCTATTATGGCAACAGTTATAACTCCTCTTAGTTTGAAATTTAGTTCATTAGTTTCCGTCCATAATGTTTAATACTAGTTTTAAACAATTTAAGTCCAATAATAATATTTGATTTTAATTTAAATTAAACAAATTAATTAATTAAAATTAAAGCAAATAGAAATGCCAAATTGGGCAAGATATGTAGATTATTTGATTTTATTTAAGTTAAATGAGTGATTTATTGATTGATTGATGGAAATAAATCATGAACCAAGCCACAAATCAAGTTCAAATTCATCCATAGGCAAGGCTTGAAAAGTCTATAAATATAAGGTCCCAAGGCAAAGGAAATGGATCCATAAATCATTTAAGCACCCGACACTGCCAAAGCTCAAGCACCCAAATTCTCAAAACACTTCGAAGAATTCAGAAAGCTCTCTGCGTTCTTTACCAAACCTTCGAAGAATCATCAAGCACTACTACCCATGCTGATCCTTCAAATAGCCAAGAGCCAAAACCTCAGGGCCACTGTTCGTCCACTCTTGAACTAACAACCTACACATCTACCTATCTTTCGGAGATCGAATCAGAGGAAACTTGTAAACATAGATTGTAGCCCTACAAATTTGCTAAATACAATTATTTTATACACGTGTTCTTGTTTCATTTGCTATAGGATTTTCATGTTTACAACATCCTTATCGATTTTTTGCCATTAATCTTCTTCAATTCATTTGCTCCGACACCCAAAAATTGATAATGTGCGTGAGAAGTAAAAATGTGTGTGAATAGCACTGCCCAAAAAGATATTAGGTAGGTACTGAAAATTCCTAACCCCCCTGAATTTGAGAGTGACCAAATTTCCCTAAATTTGAGATTGATAGAAAGAGCTCACTTCTATCAATCTAGCAATTGAAAGAGCTCACTTCTATCAATCTAGCCATTGAGTTATTAAAATAAAACTCAAAAAGCTTTTGATTCTTATATAAAGAAATCAAAATTACCTAAACCGCTATGGAAACCCTAAGCTAAAAATATTTTGATTCAACAACAATGTGTCCATGTTGACAACGTATTACATACCAACAAGCTCAAAAACATTGCATCAATCTTAAAAAACAATTCATTATCCAATACAATTTTAGAGATTTTTTTTCAAATCTTAAATTTTTATTTGCGACGTCGTAGGTTTTGGACATATTGAAAATTATTATTATGTAGAGGCAATTTTTTTAAGACATGACCTAGAAAAAATACAACTTATTACAATATGAATTATATTTCTATATATAATTGGCCCAAGTTGGGGATTGAAATTTTTTATAACTAGATGGAGGTTATTATTCAATATACTATATAGAGGTTTTACCGTAAGTAAGTATTCGATTGCATGTTGACTCGTCTTGCACACAAACATGGAATATCGATACACTAGAATAGGGTGTGCTTGAAAAATTGAATAAACAACGAAACTTATAACATAAAATTAATTCATGCGGTAATTTAATTTGGTTTTAAAAAACTCAAGAGAGTAATATTAGACGTAAATAAAAAAATCACAATTTACGGTTTGATGGTTGGTTGAATATTTTTTTGTTTAGTAAACTACGTTGTCCCAACTCTCTAATAGAGGTTGCTCACCAACACAAATAGATCTCACCTCACTTAGATAAATTTATATAGTATAGTGTACCAACCAAGACGGTGCAGAAAATAGGAGAAAACATCCTGCCTTACAACCACTGAAGCCACTATAGAAAACGTGGAGAGAGAGCATCCATTGTCCAACAGAACAGTAGCCACTGGTAGCAAACAGGAACCCCCACTGAAGCTCAAAGACACCACTCCCTAATCCATAGACAAGTCAACCAAAAAGAGACGTATATCCTAGAATAATTTGGGTCTTTTACGATTTGAAATATGAGGCGTCCAGTACTGGCATGCCTTAAATGATATTATTCACGACATTCGTGAAGTTTATGTCATAATATTTGCACATAATCTACCATTCACGACATCACTTTTGTGCAAGTCGTTAAATAAAAATATTTACGGCGTAAGCGTTGTGTGTCGTATTTGACAATTACACAATGCACTTTTCTTCTCTTTTAAGGCATCACGTTATGTCGTAAAGTGATTTTTTTTTATATATTTGGACCCCTACCTTTTATGTCACACGAATGATACGTCCTAAATAATAGTTTCTAGCTTCGTGTCTAAACTTTCCCACTCCACACCTAACAAAAAAATGCACAGCGAGAAATTATAGCGCCATAATGAAATATCAAACTAGTGAAATTCTAGACCATTCCACTTCACCTTTCCCTTTTCTTTCTCTTTGCCCTTCAGATTGTTTGTTTCTTTCATACCACCGTGACCTAACAGGAAGACCATCTCCTTTCTGGCGTGCATGTCATACCCAGATTTATTTACCCAGACAACAAACCCCTCTCTCCATCACTTTGTCGCAATCCATGGCCTCATCCCCATGTCGTTTGCTGTCCACCACCAAAAATTCAAGAACCTAGGACATCTATTCCACCAAAACTCAAATCGACACCTAAATCTTCCTTTCCCAAACACATGAGACCGCCGTTTTTCTCCCAATGTTTTAAGGTTGAAGTTTGTTTATTTTTTTTTTTTTTCAAAGTTTTATTTTATTTTTATATAAATTTGGTTTTGAATTCATAGGTACTTTCCTCCAGCAACCCCTCCACCTACACATTCACACTCCACAGCCTCCAATTTGGGTTTGATTTTTCTAAATCTATATGTATTTGTGCCTGGCTTTTATTCTGTGATTGGGGATTTTTTAACTTGATTTATTATTACATATGGAGGATTTTTTTAATCAGTTTTCTATTTTTATTTTTCAGTATTTTTCTTTTTGCTATGAATCGGTAGGATGAAATTATTTTTCTAGGATGCTTCTGTTTTTCTTGTTGTTTAAAGGTACAATCTTTCTGGCTTGTTGTTTATACAAATTAATAAAAAAAAAAGAAGGTTTAGTAATTTTGGGCTTTGTAGATGCTTTGAAATTGAACCATACATAATCGTTTAAGCTACCACTTTATACTTTACAGTCAATTCCAAGAGCTATCGTTTATATTTTATGGAGAAGCGATTTTATTATGTGAGGTTCTCTTTGAATCCAGAGCAGTGAGTGCTCTATACTTGAGTAGTTTTAAAAATTAAAAACATAAGCTACTGTTTATTGGATATTAGGATATTATAATGCTTTCTATTGTAGCGTTTATCTTTTAGTTGCTCTGCATTGTAATCCTACACGTCCTGGAGGCTTATCTTCTCATGTTGCTTGTGTATACCAATACTTGTATCACTCATACAAAAATCAATGAATCAATCGCTTTTTACTAATGATGGAATTGTGCTTATTGGTTATATTTGGTTTTTGGGATCACTATCTAATCCATAGTTTGTAATACACTTCAATATTTTTTTTTTCTTTTTTTTGTGTTTTTGGGCTTCTACATTTGGATCTTTCTGAATGTTTGGTTAATTCATTTTTTTATATTAATTTTCAATTATAGGTTGATACTTGGTTGCTTGACTTCTAACCTTTTTATTGGCTCATATGAGGAATTGGGTGCGTGCTGTATTCTCTTTGTTGTGATGGACTTTTGTTTGAAATTTTCGTTGAAGTTCTTGTTTCACTAAAGTCTACTTGCTTTGTTTTTTAAATGGGATTGAGTATTTTAGGTTTCACTGTTTTTTTTTTTTTTTAGGAATGGTCTCTTCGTGTACGGTTAGGTACACTAATATAGAAATGGTCCAAAGATCTAAATAGCCTGGGCACCAAACAACTTTTGTCAATCCATTTCTGTCCTTTGTAGGTCGCTCATGCTATTCGTTAGATCACCATCTATATTTCCAAGTGCAATGACAAATATATACAGGTTAAGTGATTTAATAACTTAAATAAGTGTTAATATGCCCACCTTTAAGTGTATTGTAGGAATTGTATTAGCACTTTTTTTCTTGTTATAATGTCTTTTTTTTTTTTTGTAAATTATAAACTTATATATGCATTTGAACAACATTTGGGTTACCTAATCTTTTTTATTGAGTGAAACAGTTTTTGATAGGTATGTTGGAAATGATTCCTTCCCAAATCTAGAGCGGTAAGTAATGGCGCCCAATGAATTATCAAATCTGAGGCACCAAGTATTTAAAAAAATTAGATTAATATTAATCCAGACTATTCCAATTCTGTTTCCTCTGAAAGAGTTTTAATTATGGTGTTGGGGATTTGTTAATTTTGCTCTCTCTCTTTCTATGTGATTTGGTTGGAATCGCAGAGTGACTTGGGTTTCTTTGTATGCATGTGCCAGACCTCCACGTCACATGGGGTACTCAGCAAGGTTCTACTTTTGCAAAAGAGATGGGGATGTTACAGACTTACAGTGATACTGCAACCCAAATAATCTGTTTTCAAAATCCAAATAATCTGTGATATGTTATAGTAGTAGTAGAATAACACTGGGGCATAGCCTAGTACTTAAATTATTGACTTTGTTGCTTAGCCTAGTACTATGTGGGGGCGTTTGTTGCGCCGGACTATCTCGGACTGGATTAGCTTCAAGGACTAAGCTGGATTGGCTTAGACTAGACTAAACTGGACTAACTTAGTGAAGCGTTTGGTGCAGTATTGGACTAAGAAGCTGGATAATAACAAATTCTAATATTATATTATTTAATATATAAATTATTAATATTTTATTATGATCTTATCTTTTTCTTCATCTTTTCCTACCATTTCCGTCCCACTCTTTTCCTCTTCTCTCATCGTCCCACCCTTTCCTTCTTTTTTTTCCTCTTAGACCTCTCAATTCACGTCTCTTTCTCATTCCTGGTCAAACTCCTTATTGATTCCAGTGTCTATTTCTCTGTCCTCCCTCCCTCTCTAGCTATGTGTTGTTCGAATGGAACCTCACGGCTCCAATTTCCGACGAGTTGCAGGTTTCCCGATGTGTTTTCCGGCCAACCCTCGTTAAATTGGATGAAGTTAGCACCGCCAAAAAATTCATCACCATCCCTAGACCGAGATCTTAGCTTTGAATGCTCGAATCTGTCATGGATTTGAAGAAGCCCAAACAGGCCGAGACTTCCAGGCCATTTTCCGGCCAGATTCGACCACATTTTGGCCTCTATTCAGGTAAAATCGTAATCTTGTCACTCCCAGCTTCAATTTGGTATATTTTATATGAAAGTTGGTTGTGAAATGGATTTGAAATGGAGTCGGAAAGTTAATGATTGATCTAGGTGACCGGAGATGACGAGGAGTCTGTCGGGAGTGGTCGTTGAGCATGACGAGGACGAGAAAGAGAGGATAGTCTTAGCTAGTCCCATGGTTATTGGGGGGTCTCGCTAAGACCTCTTAGTGAAGGGTTTTGTCCATGCTAGTCCCCTTTAGTCTCATTAATGTTAGTCCCAGCATGGAACAAACACAGTATTGGACTAATAGCTAGTCCAGTCCAGTCCAGTCCAACTTAGTGAGGGCAAACAAACGCCCCCTGTGAGTCTGTTATAGTAGTAGTGTAGTACTTTGTTTAGTTTGTACTACTGGATAAAAATGCTAATTTGATTGAGTTCCTTTGGTATGGTTTATATTCACTTGTTTATTCTATTTATTTTTACTATTTTTCAGGTAGCATTCAAGTCTTTGGTGAATTTTTAAACGAAGAAGTTGCAAATGCAGCAGTAATGAGTGGAAAAGTTTATACTTAATTTTAGTAGTTTAAAGTCTTTATCAATTTCTAAGTTAACATTTTGTTTTGACTAGCTCTTAACTTACCAACCGAATCCATCTCATTTGACTAGCTAGAGTATCTTGGTTGGGCACTCTATCCGTTCCTAGGGCCTAGATTCCAAAGACAAAGTTGAGACAGGTTGGGAACTCTATCTTTCTCTCCTTTTGTTTTAGTTCCCAAGAAAGTTGATTGGATTGAAGAAAATGGACCCAAAAGAAATGAAAAAATAATTGAAATTTGTTGGTGCTTCTGTTGATGTTGAATTTGTAATATATTAAGACCCAAAAACTAGATAAATGGCTAACTTTGATGTAAATTGATAACATTAAGCCACAAGGTCAAAACAACAGTGAATCTTACCTTACAGTTTTTGGGGATATCATAATTGATAACCATATCCATTGATCGAATATCAAATCATTCTACTTGCCGCATCAATTCTTCATGAAATGTTAGAGACTCATTAATTTATCTATTCGCAAGTATATGATTTTTATGCAGGTTATAGGAAAAAGTAAAATTGTAAAGGCATAATTTGTGTATATTTTAGTCATTTTATGCATGTATGATTGTAAAACAATAAAACTGTGAAGGCATAGTTTGGGATTTAGGTTAGTATGACAATGATTAGATTTTCTTTCAGTATCACTTTTCTTACTTGAGATTAAATGTGTATTTCTACATATAGTTGTACAATAGATTTTCTTTTGTTCCATTTGCTTATGTCTACGGAGATAGAGATAGCAATTAGAGTGTTTCATGCATTAGGAGCAGTATTTCACTCTCAAACGACTACATTTGGAGGTCTTCAAGGAAAAGTGAAGTCTTTCAAGGGACAAATTTCTTTGTTATTAGATGCCTATTTGGTATTTCATGTGTAGTTTGATATTGACCTTAGCTTTGTTCAACTTGTAATACATTTTGACAATATGATTATTTATGAAATTATTGTATTATAGTAAATATGTAATTTTGTCTATTCTTATATATATAAATGTAAATGTAAATGTATTATCGTACATTTGCATATAAATGTAAATGTAAATTACTGTATGCAAAATCAACAATAATTGTTGATGCTAGCCTTTTTTTACAATGTACGATGTATGCCATAATTACTTTCACAGTATTACGGTACTCAACAAACGCTGTATCAAATATAAATTACGGCACACAGATATGCCGTAATTGTTTTCGTAGTATTACGACACTTTATTAACGCCGTATCTAATACCAATTAAGGCGCACAAGGCATGCCTTAAAGAGCATTTACGACACTTCATTAACACCGTATCTAATACCAATTAAAGCGTGCAAGGCACACCTTATAGAGCATCTACAATGTGTTTGCTTAAATTATTCACAGCTACTAGAGAACTTCGTATTTAACAAAACATGTTTTACGACAGGGGCTTTTACTGCTTGGGGGCTCACGTCGTGAATAACTATTTATGGCTCCCTTTGTGCGCCGCAAAAGACCAGTTCTGTTGTAGTGTATCCTAGCCAGATCCACCTAGTGCAGTACACCAAACCCAAAGTAGCTAACAAACCAGCCAAGCAAATCCCTAAACCCCCAGCCACTGCCTCAAGAACAATTCCATGCACTACCACCTTACGGCCACCATTTTAAGCAACAAAATATCATGGCAAAGAGCCAGAAACCCAAACCAAGTCATAGCCTCCCTCAATTGCTCAAACCACTGAGAGATCTAACAATAGACCAGCAGCCACCCTACACCACAATTAAGCCAGACCAAGAATTCAACCAGCATGAAAGCCAAAAAGGGGAAAAGAAATATTCCAATTCCAACGAATCTCTTCGTTGGTGGGATTGTCTCAAATGTGATGAATTGAGGCATGCCTAAACCCCACATCATCCTTTATAGCTTTAAGAACTTTTTTCTTTCATTTGTATTCAGTCTTATACAAGCGGACATTCTAGAAGCTCTCACTCAAACAAGGACATTACCTACTCAACCAAGATTTCCCTTCTTATAAGAACATATGCTTACACTAATAACAGCTAAGTTGTCCAATCTGCTCATTTCCTTTTAGAAACAACATAAACAAAACGATTAAAAAAGTTGATACAATATAATCTACCAAAATGTTTTCTCCTTAACAATTTTTCTTTGTAAACCACATAAACTGAACGAAAGCTACCCTTAATAGTGGTTGTATTTATGTACACATGATGCTTGCTTACTGAAAATCACTTTGACATCAACCCTAACCATCGATTTGAACTCCACGATGTTTTCCTTTAAAAATTTCTCCATCTTCTTCAATGTAATTTTTCTTTAAATATTGTTAAACTGGATTATAACATTATATATATTACACACACACACACACACACACACACACACACACACACACACACCTATTGTAGGCCTATTTAATTGAAGAATTAATAGAGGGGGAGAGAGGGTGTGGCGGCATGAAAGATGAGAGAATTGGTGAATTCTGAGGTGTATGATATATCACCTCATTGTACCTTTATTTATAGTGGTAATGAAGTGAGGAGAGAATTGGTGAATTCTTATTAAAAGTAATATATCTTAAATAGGACACAATCTAAAAGATACTATATAATCTCATAAGAAATTACACAATCACATTCTTAACTAAATTAGGATTGTAACACCCCCTCTTGAGTGTGTAAATACTCAAATAAAATGTAGCATCAGGTCTTCAACGATGAAGTAAGAACAATTGATGAAGTCATCTGCATAATAAGCAAATGCGAATCTCAAAACAAACGAAGGAATGCATAAGAAGTAGATCTCACAAAACCTTGCTATGGTAAACCTGGTGTAAGATAAAAACCTATAGTCTAAGGAGAAAAATGAGAATTTGCATAAAGTCAAAACTAAACGCGTTCAAGAAGTCAGTAGAACACATATAAGGGTTTGACCAACCTAAGATGAGTGCCTCATTAAAACCTCGTCATGTAGCAAACACCTAAAGGGAAAATACTCCTAATCGTAGGGAAAAAGAATACATTAAGATTAAGTAAGTATATTTCCAGATAGTCCACCTGAGTTTGACAAAACTCAGGCAACTCCAGAATTTTCTTAGCTAACTTTTCCTTGATAAATAATCTGTCTAATTCCACATGCTTGGCATGATCATGTTGAACTGGATTATGGGCAATATCATATGCTACTTTATTGTCACAATATAATCGCATTGGTTGTCTAGGCGGATAGCTCAAATCTCTCAAGAGACGTCTTAGCCATAATACTTCACAAACTCCTACCTCTATGTTCAACTTCTGGACTTGAACCCTTAACAACATTCTGCTTCTTGCTCCTCCATATAAAAACATTACCACCTACGAAAGTGAAGTAACCTGAAGTAGATCGCATGTCATCTACTGCTCCGGCCCAATTAGTATGGTATATGCATTCATGCTTTGAGGATTTACATTTTTCATGAATAAAATTCTCTTTCCAGAAGCAAACTTCAAATACCTCAAAATTTGCATGACTGCATTCATGTGTTACTCTTCAGGATTATGCATGAACTAGCTAACAATACTCAATGCATAAGTAAGGTCCAGCCTTGTATGTGCTAAGTACATCAATCTTCCTACAAGTCTCTGATATTTTCTTTTATCAAACAGTACATGCTTAGGCTCACACATAATTTCAATTATTCTTGCACTAGTATATTAGCTGGTTCACATGTTGGCATGCCAGTTTCTTGTAACAAATATAAAGCACACTTTCTTTGAGACAAAAAAATTGTTAGATCCCACATCATCCAGGGGAGATGATCCTCTATGCCT